TCAATCGTAAACTGAGTTAGTTAAAATTAAGAAATGATTAACTTTATGTCGGCTCGGAAATCGTATCTCTAAATTTTACAAAGGTATAGTTGACGGAAGTACAATTAATAGAGTATGATTAACGCACGCGTGCTCAACGATAAGCGACTTGCCTTGTCAGAGCCTGATCTAGAAAGAATGAAACGCATCGCCGCGCCAGCTGAGTCCGAGGCAAAAAAAATTTTTTTCTTATCTCAATTCCCTTTCCTCGCACGAAGGTCGAAGGCGTAAACTTCTTGACCTCATGGTTCATGAATGGGGTTTCATTATTCACGTATCAACTGCTCCTTTCTCTGTTTGATTGGCTCGAGTCGAAGTCTGTGATGATTCCGACCGTGCGCTAAAGATTGTGCCGTGTTTTGGTGGCTCGTGTTGCGTTGTTTGATATTACCGGCTTTCGGCTCAAACAACGGGGTGACGGACGCTCAATGTCCGTCGTCGGCAATCAGTTTTGAAAGGTAACCTTTCAACCAATCTGATTGCCACAATGCATTTGCCATCTTTTTTAGCGATGTATGCATTTTGGCGAGTTTGGAAGCAGTGATCGTAGCAATGTTAAATAGTAAAATCTGATTCCAAATCGCAACTCAGCTTGATACGGCGCACGCCTCTCTCACACACTCATTTCAAGTAAACAATATTCGAGTTAAGTTTCGAGTTTCGAAGAGGCTGTAATTGAATTTAACAACAAAGGGACCAACCGACAAATATCGGCAGATAAGAGATTCTTTTAGAAATGAGAGTGTCGATGCCGCTACGCATGGTCACTCGATCTTGATTTCGAGTTCGATATCACACGCGCGCATCGATTAGCAAAACAGTCCGCGGCGTAATGAAATGATCTAAGCGCAATGTCTTTGTCCAAAAATTCTGTGAGAGCATATTTCAAAATATATCCGTAACAAGAAAGTTGCAACCAAATCCAACTCTTTTCGAATCATAATCACATATTTACTCAGATCATTTCTATGAACAATAGCATTGGAGCCAACGCTATCCTACTCAATCAAAAAAAATTTTTATTAAAGTTTCCAAAATACTACGGACTTCAATCAGCATGCGAAATATTTATTCTACACATACGAAACAATATAGATCTTACAGTAATACACTTATCAGCAATAAAACTGACCAAATAACTCCAATACTCACATTCACAAAACACTATTATTCAGCATATCATAAATATACTGACCAACATAAATGGAAAAATAGAAATACGACCAGCAATATGACCAGCAATAGACAAAAGACAAAAGACACTGACAACATGTAAACTCAAAACGCAGCATTACTGATCTACCAACTAATATTCCCCAATGTGAGTACAAAATTAACAAAACTATTGGCCTCAGAAAGATAAACTACAAAATTAACAACGAAAATAACCACAACTGGACAGATAACTTAAGTAACTGTTTAAAAAATAAAGAACAATAAAGAACAGCTTAAAAAAAAAATAAAGAACAATAATTTTTAAATAAATTTTGCAAATAATTTCAACGGAAGAGAACGAATCATAATAACTAGACTTAGAATCAGATACACATCACTAACACATTAGCACCTCCTAAACAAAAAAGAACCCCCAGTATATGGAAATGTCTAACTAAACTAAACACCAATCATATACTAATACAATGCCCAGAATACCAAAATGAACGCAAAAGGTATAAATTATCGAGTGATATAAGCATTGTCGTTAATTACATACAACAATGTCAAAATGTCAAATATCTCCAAGAAATAAAACTAGCAAGCAAACTGCAATAACCCGATAAATCGTACAAACATTACTATCACTATTATTTGTACTCCTTATGAATAAATCGATGTAAATAATCATACCTTGTACTTTATACTCACCAAGTCAATAACTGTTGTAATTAATCATCTCTATTAATAATATTATATATTGAACTGCTATTTGTATCACTATACCACTGTCGCTCATACCCTCCCAGAGGGATGCGACAATAAATAAATGAAAAAAAACAATGTTCGATTCTTTATTTCGTTAAATAAAATAAGGAGAGTTAGAAATGAACTCTTCAAAATTTAAAGTGTGCTTCGAAGAGAAAACACTTGCAATGAATACATGAATAACTTCCACTTTCAATGAACTTGTGAGCTTAAACTGTTGTTAGTTAGTTAAAATTTGAAGTAGTCGTTATGCACATATTTATAAGAAAAACAATACAATTCATTCTAAAAGTATTAATTAACAAGTACCTTCGTTATTTCGTTAAATTAGTTTCATTTCTTGGCGCAAAAATTGTTATAACAATTTTACGCAACATACGAGTAACATGTGAAAATAAAAATGTATCTTCATTAAAAAAAAATCTGTTGTGCAACGAACACAAAGTTTGAAGAAAGAGAAGAAAAGGAGAGATGGTGTTCAACGCTCATAATATCCCGGCAATCGTCTCGCGACAATTAAGCTCAACACATAATTCCGCTAAAAGCGCTGCGTGCACGCTAAAGCGGCCTGTTAGTTTCAACTTGCTAGGAGAGGAAAAAAGCGCATGTGCGCGCGCGCGCGCGCGCGCGTGTGTGTGTGTGTACATACATAGGTGTGCGCACGCGTGTGGTTCTGTGTGTAATATATATAAGACGGACGCGGAAAATCCTTTCTGTGTCAAAAGGTCGCCGGCAATTAACAAATCCGCATTATTCTCGTTGCAAAGTGACCCGAATTAAAACAACGAAAAAGGACTTTTTTCCTTTCTCGGCAACTCTTTCATTCTACAATGAACACTTGAAATGTCGTTTGCGCACTCTTAATTTCAACCCATTTTACTCAGAAATCAAAATGGCTCAGATTTTTTTTCAGCTTGTAGAGAAGGTCACTGCACCTACGTAACTTTTTTTTTCGTTGTACTGTACTTTCCTCGAGTAAGAAAGATGCAGAATTACAAGAAATAAAAATCAGGAACTGGTGCAAACAACCGTGTACATAATTTTTAAAACGCTAATTAGCCAAGACAAGATGATCCATCTAACTGCTATTGAGCAAGCCGAACTCTCAAATTTCCCTCTCCTACGCTTTCTCTCTCTTTCTCTCTCTCACTCAGCCTAATGACCGTAGGTATGGCCTTTTCCGGCTAATAGTCAGTTCGCCGGATTATCTTACTCTCCGTTTACATTCTTTGCGAGTTCTGTCAGTGCTGCTGTGAAATATTCTTTTCCAATATGTCAGTACAGACGTCTAATTTTAGCGATGAGAACATTTTGACACACAAGTGACACATAAGTCACATTTTGTAATGTGACCATCTATGGACATGCTTATAAATGGGAGACAGTGGCTTGCCATATCCCCCTTTTACAGAAATTACTTGTCAGTTATAAGTTATAATGATTTTCAAAGTATATAATCGTCACTTAATAATTACATTTTCTTCTCGTCTTACAGACTTTCATTTTCTCAATTTTTCATATTGTTAAGCTCTTGTGCTCTCTTGTTTGCTTTTTACCAGACTCTCCCTTTCCACAAAGCAGAAAAAAATCTTTAGGATTTGGCAATTTCAACGAAAGTGTACAACATCTGGACGGGTGTGACTTGTTAGCGTGTGTCGAGTAAATTTCGAGAGATTAAGGGGCCCGGTCATAAATTTGCTCGAGTTTTCGGGTGTCGCGGCGGTCGTCCGAGCCGTCATAAAATTAAGTATCGAGTGATTTGAGGGTTTCTAATTATTGACGAAACCGGGGAGAAAAACAAAAGACATGAGAAAATGACGTTTGAAGGCGGTCTGTTAATGTTCGCACATGCGGGAAATCCGAGATATTTTGAGCGAAGCGCGAACATATGCAAAAGTTGACGACTTTTTTGATAGATTAACTGAGGTGTTTCATGAGGTGTTTCATTTTAGAGACAAAGTTTACAAAAAGACGATAATAAATAAATAAATGCGAGGAACGAAACGTAGCACGCGCGTCGAGCGACGGAGGGAACAAGAAAAAAGTGTAGCTTAGAGAAAGAACGATGTTAAGAAAGCGCCCTGTTATTTTCTTTCCTGCAGTGACATGTCTGTTTCTTCAACTTATGTTTTCTTTGTATTCCCTGAACATCTCACGGCTTGTCTTCTTCCCTTTTCTCGATTTTTTTCTTTCTCTTCGCTCTTACTCTCTTAACTCTTATTCAACTGAAAATAGTTGTAGTGCTGCGGAGTTAACTGTCGGCCGACAATATCGATTACGAGCTGTTTGAGTATTTTTCCTAGGCAAAACCTTTCGCTGCAGCCGAGACAAATTTATGTAACGTTTTAAGTGTTTGACTGTAAAAGTAAGTTTACTTTTTGTGTAACCTGTACTGCTCTATACTAGCGTTTTTCGTGATTTGTAAATATCCTATTACTGAAATAATAAACTTTAAAAAATAAACCTCAATGAATGAAAACTATCTCTTTTAAATATTTATAACTATCTATTTAAAACTCTTTCAAATAGATGGCTTATTATACGGCCTAATAAAATGAACATTACAGACTAATAAATCTACTCAAACGTTCAATAGAATTAAACGAAATAGAAATAATGATGTGTTATAGTAAGAATAAATGATTATCTTCTTTTTAGTTTTTGTAATGAAAGGCATGAAAGGCAAGAAAGGTTCAAAAATTCAATCAACCTGAAATTTGAAGTGATTAAAAATCATATTAATTCTGTCATAATCAAAAAATAAATTTGTAACGGAAATCATGAATACATTTTTTTAGAGACGTTAAAGAAGTAAATACTAATATTTAATAAAATCATTCAACTATGAAATTAGTATTATTAGAATGAAAAATAGAGTGAAAAAAGACTTTCTTCGACTACCAAAATCCGACGATCGAATCTTTTAAGTTATTTTAAAAAGATATCAATCAATCAAAATTAAAATTGACTCAAATAGATGAGACCAATGAAAATCACGTACTAAAAAGATCCAATGCACTTTGTTTTCTATTCGGCAGATAATCAGCTACGACTCGTCACGAGGTGGCGTGTCGGTGGTGACGGAGAAAGGAAACAGCACGTCGAGCTCGCTACTGGTCCAGCAGGCCAAGCCAACGGACTCGGGTAGATACACGTGCAATCCCAGCAACGCCCAGCCCAAGTCCATTACTGTGCACGTACTCAACGGTGAGTGGTCCTTTCCTGAGTCTCTTGTTTGTACGTCCACTTAAAACCACTCCATTTTTCCTCAATAGCTTGGCTGCGGATCGCGCTTCCAACCAATGTTTACTAAAACTTAATTTCAATCGACGTTCACTCTCCCCTTTTCCCGTTTTTCCTTCCCTCAAGTTTGTTTGCATTGATGAGTGCTTGATTGATTTACATAATCCATTGGAAGCGGATTCCCGGGAACAGCTATACTTACCAACATTTCAATATAATTTGTTTACTGTCACAAAGTAACTGTTGAACGGTAAAAAATCACAAACTTTGAAAAACTTTCGGTTTTTCTCAAGTCAAACGTAAAATCAGGACTTGTTGAAATGGAAAAACCATTTGATCTTTTGACGTCATGCACTTTATGGCTTATTTCGAAACACGCGAGAGTAAGTACAATTCAGAAATCGCAAAGTGGGAAATAACACAGCGACACGTAGCAGTTAGATACAATTGCCATTTACCCTTTGTCTACATCTTTCTAACGCACCAAAAAATACACACATTTCTTGTGTCAAACATGACTGGATAAAGTTTTAAAGTTTAAAGTCGACGTCTCCAAAACATAACAGCAATGTGTAGCTGCTTGTTGGGCAAAAAAACTTAGGCAGGTTCTACTATTGCTCAGCCTCGGGTCCACGTTAACAATGCATTTACACAACTCGCAAGAAACTTGCTACAGTATCTGCTAAAGACCTTTGTAACTCGCCGCAGAAGAAAATATAGTAAATTGCAAATACTTTTTATCGCGTCGACAAAATAATTACAATAATGTTGATATACTACGTTTTCGAATACACGTTTGTAAAATCGTGTACTGAATAGATTTGTCAGCAGTTCTTTCATTGCCCATTGGATAGAGCTTGATGCACAATATTTACTTATTAATTGAAATGTTTTTTGAAATCAAAATAAGTCATTAGCTTGTGCTCGTGGAAAATAGGAATGTTTGCTGATTATATTTCTGTACGTTTAGCATCCGTGGAGCCGTTCCATCCGAAACGCGAAACAAATCAAATAACAAACTGATGTGGTGTAGACAAATCATGAATATTAAGTGATATAAATTGCTTTCGATAAAATTAAGTGATTGTTTCCGTGCCACTGACCGTAAAATGAAATAATTCTTAAAAAACTACTCTCGCACGTGCTGTTTTTATTAATACTACGTCGTAAAATGTGCTGTGATCAGCTTTTATATACGGAGGACTTAAGTGTGGCCCCTTGTTTCAGGAGAGTACCCCGCGGCAATGCAGCACGGCGGTCAAGCCCATCAGCCCCGACTTTATTCGCTGTTACTCTGCCTCTGCCTGCTACTCTACTAAAACGTCGCAGGACGACGACGACTCACGACAACACGGCGGCCGGCGACTGCATCAACGCATACGAGCGAGAGACTATTTATTACTAAATGGTGATGATCGACAAAAGTGACGATACAATTTATTTCTATCTTCAGTTATCTAGCAATATGTAAAGAAAGCAAAGAGTGGTCCGAGATGATCTTTTACGTATCCTACGATGCTTAATTTGCATTTAAGTAGTACAGTCTGCGTTAGGTCAGGCACGACTTTTTAAAAAAATGTGAGAAAATAATTATAACGACTGTTAAAAAATTCTGACAAGCCACGATAATGCTTAAGTAAAATTTACGTTCGATAATAATCAATAAATAAATGAATCGATAAATATTGTTACACTCAAGTGTTGTCTACGTTCAAAAGCTACTGCCTCTCTAAATGATTCTATGAATGCCCATGCAATATCATAATTTGAGAAAGTATAAGATATCATGTGAAAGCACTTCTCTAGTTAAATTAAGGAGATTTCGTAACTTAACTGGGCGCGAGGTGAGAGGTGTGCATCTGATTCTCACCGCGCGTGCCACGCCGCACCCCCGTGTAACCGACACACCCGAGTTTTCGTTCATGTTCCAATCGAATATTTACGATTTTTAATCGCGACCTCAGTTCAAGCATTGAATTTAGCTTTATTTTATATATACGTATATATTTTTTTAACATTCTGTGCATGTTTTCTGAGTTTGCACTTTAAATCAATTACTTCTAACGCCGCATCTCCCACGAGGGCCCGTGTTTAAGAGCTGAATTTTTCGATTGCTTTTTTTTAGCATTTTGGTGGCAATAAATATTTTTAAATATACACAGATGTTTTTCTCGTGCTTCAGTCTATTATAAATTTTAATTTTATCTCGATCTGCGTATTTTGTTGTGACTCGTGAACCTTCTTAATTGATTGCTTAGTTCATTTAATTAAATTTTTAATTAATTCTCTTGAACGCAATTACGGTACTACGAGAAATAACTTTAAATTACAGCAAATATTAAAAAAAGAAAGAAAAACGTAACGCACTAAAAAAGTGCTTATTTCACTAAAGTTCAATGTTCTCTTGGCATTCCCTTGTGTCAAAAGTCGTCTCGGAAAATTAAGCTTCGACGACGACCAGCAGCGAATCGTGACGCAGCAATCGTCGTCGTCGTCGTCGCGTAATTTCGATCTGTCGACGTGATCATGCGCGCGCGCGCGCAACCTTTTGCCTTCTCTCTCTCTCTCTCTCTCTCTCCTCCGAAGATATAAGGATACTTAAGCTCGTTGGCGTGGAAAAAGCGCTGAGCGTCGGTGTGAATCGTAATCGGCGTTTTTCACGCCTGCCCGACTTAAGAGTCTTCTCGCTGCTGCTACGCGAGTGAAAGAGAGAGGCAGAGAGTTGGCGTCTTTCGACTTTGCAATGCAAAGCGATTCATTCGAAAAATTGGCTGTGCGCGCGAGGGAAAATTCGTTAATTAAAAGCCCCTCTCCGCTAGCGCCGTTTTTATTTTCTTCAAAGAGAAAGCGGAAAAGTATAACAATAAAAGAACTATAATTTAAAAATAAAAAAAGGACTTTTTTCCAGGCTAACTGGCTGTTCATAGTAGTAACAACGCTGGCGATTACTTTATGCCAACACTCTCTCAGTCGTATTTCTTGCCGTTATAGCTGTGGGAATGACTGCCAATTCTAATAAATTCCCCTTTGGAAAATAACGCGCTTTAATGAATTCCACCTTGTGGATTGGTCCAAAAAACCTCTCGTGGTGTACACATACACACACATACATAACTGCCCGACTGCACGACTGTTAAGCAGAAAATAGCCAGCTACACCGAAGTTATATTCCCCGGGACGGGACATTCAATATTTCCTGGTCGACTATCGATCCCACGAGAAACCCGATTTTCACAACCGTAAAATTACCAGATTTCGCGCGCGCTTCGTCGATATTTTGCAATCCTGACAATCCTGCCCATCAGGATTTTTATCTCGCGCTCTTTTAAACGCGCCTAATTGCGTGGAATTCGGTCACAACAAATCTTCTTTGACGTTATTTTCAATCAAAATTATATGAAGCCGTACAATTTTGATCGAAACGAACGACCAATGAAAGTGGATACGAAGCATATGTATACTATTTGTTGATTGTCAAGTCAATTTTTTCAGTAAAAATTCAACTATAGCACAGAGAGTAACTTTTTCTACGTACATTAATTTACAACGTAAGCCGTTTGAAAAATAGCATTACCAAACATTTTTTACTTGTGTAAATTAAGGCGATTGTGCACCTTTCTATAACATTATCCATTATAATAATTTTTAATAAGCATTTCGGTGATAAAAACAATATTTAAATATTCAAGAACATTTTTGTCATACTTTAATCTATTACAGATCTTAATTTTGTCTCAATCTTAAGCCGATGTATTCAAAATAAAAGCCAAAAAGAAAGAAACAAACATTCGATCGTTCGAAGAAAAAAGAGGTTCTCGCTAATGACATCCAATTTACTAAGATTGTTAAGTTTGATATGTGTCGAAGGCAGTCAAAATGAATGCGGTGCAAAAGAAAAAAAGATCGACAAGTTTCGTTGGCAGTGGCTTTTCACAGTCGATATAGATAAAGCGCGAGTGAGCCTTGGTGCCATTAAAACGTAACGAGCTTAGTTTAGCAGGTCTCACGGATCATCTCTCTAGCGGAAAAACGAAAAAATTTTCGGCGAAAAATCGAATAACAATATTTGCCCGCGGAGATTGCAAAGCGTCATCATTTTTTTTCAACTTTTAAATTGTTAAAAAAAAAAAAGAAAATGAGGGTCGAGATGGACATTTTTCATTAGGTACCTGACAGTGCTTAATCACCTATGTAATATAGAACAGCCGATGCTCGTTATCGCATTTCGCAGTCGTGCCGAGAAAATGGAGGTTTATAATCTCGTGTGCGAAAAATCATTTGCAGAGATTAACTCGTGTAAATATGTACTTAAAAATGGAAAAAAGTTACTTAGAACGTAAGAGAATTGTGGTGAGAATGTAATATGATGAGAGTGACATAATCGTTTAAATTGTTTCTTATGAATGGACAATATGCTGTGCTATAAAACGCCTATACACATATATATACACACACACATATATCTATGTATATATATGTGTGTGTGTATATGTATATATAACAAAGTCGTTTTCACACCATGATTCTTTTTTATGTTATTGCAAATTTTTGACCAAGCATTCACCTATTTAATTAATGTTGTATGCTTGTAGGCGAGAGACAAGTATTAATATTATATTTGCGTCATGGAATCACAAATATTTGAGCCTCTAATTGTTTACTAATTCGATAATATTACTGTATAATCCTACTTGATTAAGCTTTAAAACAATCATACTTTGTTTTTCTATGGTAGTATTGTTCAAACTTTTTTGTGGAAATCAGTGGCCCAGATTGTTGCATTTTCAAATAACAAAAAAAAGTATAAAGAAAAGGTGTAAAATAAATGAATTAGTGTGAGTGCGATCGATCGAATTTTATGGTTAAAGCGTGTATGTCATGTAAAAAAGTATTAAAAACAAAGCGCGAAGAAGGAAAAAAGTGTGCGTGTATATGAATGATGTGTGAACAAATACGACATATAAAATAAAAGAAAAAAGGAAAGAAATCGACGATTCGAATAGGTAAAGTAAAAATCCAATGGGACGAAAAATGCCCCGATATATAATCTTTAATGTACCAATATCAGTATAAATACTATCGCGTACCCCCTGACCGTATTAAGGATAATAACTGTATTCGCATTTATTGTCAAACTTACCTACAGCCTAGTCAGTGTGCAAACCATAAAAAAAGGTGTGAGACACGTGTCTCATAAACCCTAAAGTGTCGTCAAACAAAAAAAATGAATAAATAAATAAATCACAATCACAAAAGTCTGGAAAAAAATAATGTGAACACACAAAAATCTACCAAGTTATAAGCGAGAAACTAAGCTAGATTTTAAACAGCAAAAAAAAAACGCAAGCGAAACTATCGATTATCAAATGCTGTACATCATTTCTGCTTCCTTTTACGTCGATGTTATTTTAATCATTGAAAAAAAAAATTGTGTAGTTTTTAAGGTTCATTTGGAGGACGACTATTTTCTCTGTCGATTAAGTTTTTTAATATAAGTGTACAGTTTATTTTTTCATTAAATATACATGTACTCATGATTGAAACTCATTTATATAACAATTGTACACTTCATTCGAATGAACGCAGATGTAAAATGAGATACTACGATAAAATACTAAAAAAAATGTGCTTAAAGGTATTTGTAAAATTCTATCAACATAGGAAAAGTTTAAATAAAAGATGGATCTCACTTACGTTAATTGGTTTTATTTATCTATACTTGCACATTCCGATCAATTATCCAATTTCAATAGAAATTAAATATAAAATTTTTATTTTATTTTATTTCCTCAAGTATATTTGCTTTATTCAAAATCATGAATTTATAAAAATATTTTGCTAAATAAATATTTTTTTATTGCTATTTTCTCCTAATGTAGGATGGTAAGTACAAGGTAAATGCATATCTTTTTGCATAACATTAAGCGTCTAGAAATCCATATGTTATGGGAATGTTTAAATAATTGATTTTAGGTATAACTTCGGTCCTCTTCGAACTAAGTTTTCAGACTAGCTCTTCAATTTTAAGAATTGATAATTTTTTAATATCAAATTGGCACTAACATAAATAAGTAATTATAGAAATAATAATTATCGTTTGAATTAACTTAATTATATTATAATGTTAGTGATTAAAATCAGTTGTCCAAAGTATGAACAACTCTATATAGATAACAAATGCGTTAATAACTGATAATTAGTTAATTAAAGATTTACAAAATAACCCTAAGCAAACGAGTTGTTTATATATTTGGATATTTCATTTTCAAATAAGTACGGACACATTTAGATGGCTGCAGAAAAACGATATTACAATAAGCAATGTCACAAGCAAAAAGTCGAGCAAATCTTCTTGCTTATTTCCTTTCCGTGACATTTGTACAAGGCAGCGAGCTAAGCCGAGAGTTTCTGAACAAGTGGAAATGAAAAAAGGCGCGCGCTTGAAAATCATCGAGTCGCGAGGAAAAGGTGAGAGCTTCTGGGTTAGCACTATTATGAGGTGTTCCAAACGCAAAATATACGGAAAGTCGGCATGCATTAGTGTGAACTGTGAGTTCCAGGTAAACAATAAGTGCTTACGTGAGCGGTGACATTTGCATACTCAAAACGGAGAGAAATAGAGAGAGAAAGAGAGACAAGGACTTCACAGTGTTTTGTCCAAGACGCACGACGAAGACACGGAGAAACAATCAATCAAGCGAAAAAGCCAAGCGGCGAAATTGCATTCGCGTAGTCGCTGCTGTTGGTGTAGATAGTAGCTTGCGACGCGTAATTAACCGTCGGCTGATTTGAGTAATTGCTCACCGACTCTGTACGTGTGTGTTTATGGTGAAAAAGCAATCACCGTGATTGTTTTGCAGCGCTAGCGCCAACGGAAAAAAAGCGGCCGTGTGGCGGTTTATTTCTTGTTTTCTAAGTGAACCACAGCGACGGAGGCGAGTTAATTTTTTATTTCTTAGAAATTAGCGGATTATGCTGAAGACTGTGGCATATACACGAATTCTGAATCTTTTAAATCAAAAACAGTTTATTTATGTTATTATTTATATGTTATTTATAGGTGATATTTTGTTTGTAAATTGAGCATGAAAACAAACCACAGATTTTTTATTATTATTAAACTATTCTAGCATTTTTTATCCCTACAAAATCCCCTTTCGAATTATCCCCACAAAATTTGACTTGGATACCATAAATATGAAATTATAATTATATATTTTATGCACTTATTACTAGGTGTCATATACGCTGATTTTTAATAACCATTAAGTACAGTTAACTACTTCATAATAGAGAAAATATATCACCTAATAATCGTATTATATCGTGATTGTATGAGTATAAGTGTAATCTTTTTGCTTTGATTAGTAAATATTTTGATGTAATATGTAAACATATATAATTAATAACGTACAGCTATGATTTCACATAGCTTATGGGATTAAAATCAACTGAGAATAGCTCAATAAATTCATAATAAATGTAGTCAAGAACTCATAAGATAGAAATATTACACCATTGTGGGTACGCTTTGGGAATTAATGTCAGGAGTGATATTCCCTCCTTAACAATACCGAATACCTTATCCGATAGGAGATCAACAGCTATTTAGATATCTTATATTGCAACAATTACTTGAGATGAAACCATCAAGAGTTACACAAATAAAAAATATATCATCAAATTAAAAGAGAATAAAATAATGAAGTTAGCTGGATATTTTACACCCATTTATTATCTTCTGGTATGTCTAAACTTATTTGTTGAACGGCTAGTTCTCTTTAAAATATGTAGATGATAAGTAAAAACGTTCGCGAATCAGGCAAAGAAACTGGCCGGTAAAGAAAAAAGATACTGTCGCAACATATTGTTTTAGAGTCAATAAAGGAAAAGCGTTGATCCTCGTTAAGAAAGAAAGAAAAAAGGGCCGATAAGGAATAATACCCGCGAAAACGGGGGCAGTCATGGCGAGCGGTAAAGCCAGTTAAGTCGCTAAAATGGGTCTTTAAACGAGCACTCGGAGATCGACTCGGACGACGAGGGCACGTCCGCGCCCTGACGCGAGCGAGCGCGCGCGACCCTCCGAGGGCGAGATTTTCTTTTCTCGCGTTGTCGGCTGCGCGTCGAAAATAGGTCAGCTTTCGCCATTCGCTAATTCGCACGTCAATATCCCGAGCGCGCGAGAATTAGCAGCTGATTGTTTGTTTCAATTCGGCATAAGAAACCAAAGTGCCGTGTTAATTAGTCGTGCGGATGTCGAGGGAGTACTCGAGTGCGCAAAAGACCGAGAAATTTGCTGTAAGTTATCCGACGGGATTGGTAATGATTTCGTTTATACGTGAAGGTTGGTAAATAATGTGAATATAAGCTTCGGAAAAGTAAATGAAACACGATCGACCTTGGATATGCTTTGAGATTTACCTTCAGGTCACAGAAATCCGCACGTATTTTAAGATGGAATCGATATAGGCTGGTTTTATTCCTCTATAGCTGTACTCGAAAATATTGCGACGCGACATATTTTTTTGTCGAACGACGACATGTGCCTTGAATTTTTTATATATCGGGAGAATTTTGAAATGTTAGCAAGATTTTTTTTTTCAATATTCTCGCTCTCTATTTTTTTATATTGCTGCCGATGTACTATATTTTACAGATACCTTCTATTGTTTTTTTTGCGAGAACGTTACTTTTTTTAAAATTGTATGCATTTTACTGTCTGAATGAACAATTTTCAAAAATTATTAAAATTATTGAGATTTAACTTTTTTTTTCATTGAAGAATTGAATATAGGAACGATATAACTACAAGTTTATTGTAGAGTTTTTGATTTCAAAAAATACATATTCTATTATTTTCACAATATTGATATGAATTTATACACTCTAATAAATTAATGAATGCATTTTTGAAGAAAATCTTCAAGCACTGCGAATAGTTAAAAAAATACAATACAAAGCATCAAACTCATAATCATGACGATTGAATAACAGGGTACAAAAGATCTAATTTTCAGCGTGTCTCAGGCGCCGTGCTGCGCTATAAGTCTGACAAACACAATAAAGCTCAAACTCTCGTATAATTCTCGCGGCGGCGGTGCAGCGTTTCGATCTGCTCTTTGTGAGGGTACGAGGGAGTTTCTAAAAGCCATAAATCTCGTCATTAAGCGGGTTTCAACGCGGTAAAAAGCAGTAATTAAAGGGACGAATTACCGCTTTTACGAGGGAGCCTCATGCGCGTTGAGAACAACATCGCGCACGGAGCGTCTCTCCCTTCGGGAGAAAGATTGATTAACAACTCGTGCCCTCTACATGCATCTACGCATCGCGAATTTATTGATAGCGTAAATTTTGCAGGCCGCCGAGTTTACATCTGTCTTGGGCTTTTGGGTAATGGTCTCTCACTTAAAATGAATACGAGAGTGTTGTTACATTTAAATATTCATGACAAATTCGCTGTGAAAACGTTCTTACTCCTTGTTATTGATGTGAAAAAGCCGGGTTTAGCAAAGGAAAGTGGTTTTTTCATATTTTAGGTAAATATTTTTATTTGTTTACTTTGCGAAATAAGAACTTGATTTAAAATTTAATTAATAAGTGCATTCAATCTATGTAATTAGTTTTTACATTTTTGTTTTCTTCTTTGAATTTACAAATGAATTTATATTAAAACGTAATTATGGTATATAAAATACAACAGTTCAAAAAATACCGTTACAGGTTTGGAAAGATAATAAAAAAAATTGTTCAGCGCTATTTAATATCACGAACGCCAAGATAACTTCTTCTTCAAAGAAACTAAAGATACTAAAGAAATAAATTGTTCAGCTTCAGCGAGTATCATTATAGAATCAACGCGCAAGTAATTAAAATGATATCGACGAACCTTTTGCCTTTTACCCCCAAGGCTACGTTTTTCTGTCTTTCTCTCTATCGCATCTCCGTTATTAAAGTATCCTTACATAGCCAGGAAGGAAGAGAGGCGTTGCCAGAATTCAAGCGCATGACTTTTTCCAGAGGACGCGAGCTGCCTTCACTGCTGAATTCGATTTGTGTAATATTTTTAATGATGCTTCGAACGGCGAAGCAGTGTATAAGTTTGATGCACCTTCCTAAAAACTATAGTATATATAGGTTAAACAAGGCATGGATTTTTTTCCAATCTTACAGGAATAATAGACGATATCCATCAATAGCTTACAAAGCGTATGAATGCTGTCTGATATGCCAATACGTTTGCAACATGCTAATGGAATCTTCAATAAGGTTTGTATAAACAGACAGAGATAAGTACGTGACCGACACACTTATTATTCTATACTGTTATTGTTGCCTATAATATCCAAGGCACAAGAAAATTTACAAAAAAATCACAAATAAAATGTTAGCTTAAGGCTTAAGAAGTCTGACGTAAATGATTAATACGATACCGGAAATAATGAGTGCATCTCTCAGATAGCAGCAGAAAGAGGTTGATCCAACCGCGAGTTGCACTTTTCCAAACAGTCTTTCTCCTTTTCTGAATCCCCATCAACTCGTGGAATAGCGTCAAGCGATTTCTCTGAGCGGCGGCGCGACGAGGATAAGAGAGCGGCGTGTTTCCCGCGAAATTTTCAGCTCGTTATTTTCCGCTGCTCTAAGACCACGACTGGCAGAGGATTTTGTCATGCTCTCTTGG